ACGTGTTATGCAGCCAGTGTTACAGAAGCTGTTTGTAAAAATGATTCCAATCTCATGCCGGCCAGTCAACGCAGGAATAAAATTTAATACATTTGCAAAATTAGGGGCAGCACAAGGTCTGCTAAGTTTAAAACAAGGTTAAGTTATATTTCAACTATATGGCCAAAAGTGTGTGGACATCTGACCATCACTCTTATATGAGCTCCAGAACCACGGGCATTAATATGGAGTTCCCCCCCCCCCCCAATCGTCTTGTGGCCATAACAGCCTCCACACTTCCGGGGAGAATTTCCACACAATTTTGGAGTGTGTCTGTGGGAATTTGGGAATTTGTGCCTACTTAGCTAAACGATCATTTGTGAGGTCAAATACTGATGGGGATCTGGCTCCAAATTGGCCTTCTAGTTCATCCCAATGGTGTTCAGTAGGGTTGAGGTCAGGACTCTGTGGAGACTACTCTAGTTCCTCTACACCAAACTCATCGAACCATGTCTTCCTGGAGCTGGCTTTGTGTACAGGGAATAGTACAATTGCCCACTCGTTGTTAATCTTCCTTGCTGCTGATAAACTAAGCTCTTACCATTTGGTATTTTATTGAAGTACATGTGTGAATGGCAATCTCTGCTCCGCATCCAACATTTGATGGTGGTGTCAGGACACAGCCAATGTATGTCTGTCTTTTGGTGTCAAGTGGCTTCTTTATCTCTGTTGTTGCCATTTTATGCCGCTGTAAAGGAGCACTTAGGGTCTCTGCCAACAGGTTTTTATTCACACCAGAACTACTTCTCTACCCATACAAGTCAATGGGAATTCTAAAGCAGCTTTATGAAGGTTTATGCTGATTAGATGAACGGAAATTGCAGTTCAACTGCAAATCAGGAGGAGGTCAATTGCAAGTAAGGAGAAGGTCAACTGCAGGTCAGAAGGAGGCCAATTGCAGATCAGGAGGAGGTCAACAGCAGGTCAGGAGAAGGCCAACTGCAGGTCAGGAGGTCAACTGGGGGGTCAGGAGGAGGCCAACTGGGGGGTCAGGAGGAGGTCAACTGTGGGTAAGGAGGAGGTCTACTGCAGGTCAAGAGGAGATCAATTGCAGTTCAGGATGAGGCTACCTGCAGGTCAGGAGAAGGTCACCTGCAGATCAGGAGTTATACTGCAGGTTAGGAGAAGGTCACCTGTAGATAAGGAGGTCATCATACTCGGAATTATCTCAGTTGAGATCAAACTGATGCTAAAAGCAAGGGAAATGCACTAGAAAAGCAAGCCGAATTAGCCTATCAATATAGACCTAAAGCCCGTTGACATAGTCCCTTATAGAGCTTTGTTATCTGCTGACTAGTTCCAGTATTTTTAAAGGTAAATGTTATTAACCTCAATCAGTAAGATCAGGAACAATAGACGAGTGCAATCTAAGAGTAATACAGCGTATTACATCTGTAAGACATCTCCTAGCATGATACAAAAACAAAGGAAATCTTACATCCAGGAGAAATGTATTTGTAAGATTCTCTGTCCATGTCAGAGTCGCTGTATTTGCAGGTCACCATTGTCAGGGCATCAAGAAACCTGAGAAAAACATTTGTTCCGGTGTCTTCTCCGTCACTGGTGTTTACAGATTGCACAAGAAATCATCACAAAATCCCCTGGAAGACACAGGGGCAGTAATTCCGCGGTGCGAAGTATACTGTAAAAAAAAAATCATGTTTTTTTCCCTCGTCGTCTGTGAATTTCTAATAACAGGTGGAATCGGCGTAGACGTGAGAAACAGAAAAGTGGACTTATTATAACGAAACCTTTCTATTATCTGGTGCAGGCCGCGTGTTTAATGGTTCCGGAAAACCCATCGATAAGGGTCCAACTGTGATGGCTGAGGACTTCTTAGATATCAACGGTGAGATAAATTGTCTCTGTGTTTTGGACAACATGGGGGCAAAATACAGAACACAGTGTGGCTTCCTAAATAGATTACCACTCGCACAAAGGGAAAAAAGTAAGAGTGGCCATGTAACATGAACTCCTGGCCCTGGGCAGGTATTGTGCAGGACTTCATTAGTTAGGAGGGAGATCCACCAAAATCTGTCTCTACAACCCCTTTCAATGGGTAATATATTTATGTTGGTACATTGGTCCTTTGGCCTCTCACTAGTTCACTCTCCCAGCCATGCTCTTTCTGACCTTTATTCAGAAAGTAAAGTAAACAATGGGTATCAGAGGTCAGAGGTTAGGGAGCTTTGGGGGCCTGTGCACGGGCATTTACAAAGTGTTGGTTATTGGCCCAAGTGAATTTAAATGGCTTACAGTGAATCTGTCACCAGTCTAAAACTTACAAGTATTAGGTCTTTTAAGATCACGTGGCCCCATGGGAAAAATGTGATGGGGCCTCCTTGATGACCTCTCTCTGAGCTGTGAGTAACAATGCCAAGATCCCAAAGACTTGGGATCTTGTGCATCTGAAGTTGTCTTTACACTGTAGACTTTACAGGGGATTAGAGTTGTCTACAACTGAACCACGAACCACTCCAACCCTTAATTATATAGTACTGTATTATCTTTACATCTTCTATGTTCAATTTGCCTCAACAACGTAATGTGGCCCCCTTCCACCTCCAGGCTCCATAGCAGCATCATGGGCTGCTATGGCTATAGTAACGCCACTAAGTTCTACCGAAGAGCAGTCATTATAAGATGTCTTCAGTTATCTGTATTAGCTAAAACCCCTTTATTCTGCACTCTTCTCTGAATCTGGTTTCACTTTGCTAATTTTCCTGGTTTTAAGGCTAAAACTGGCTCACCTACCCACCATCCTCCCTATCCAATGGGAGTTTTAGCCAGTGAGGCACTGTTACGGGACATGGGCATACCAAAGTAAAACTAGTTCCAGGGACGTACACAAGAGAAGGGTTTCTTGGAAAGCAAAAGTAATAGCAGGTACCCTATGGTGTGGGTTCTCAAAGATAGCATGACACCGCCTGGGCAAAATTTGCAGATATTTGGGTATCTATATATCTGGCTTGTTGTAATACCTAAAGCAGGTAGCCAAGCTGAGAACTCTCTACTTCGGATTAAAATGTGGATGTCACCAGCACACCAGCACGACAGAAGCTCATAAGTCAGTGCAAAACCATTTATTAATAGATGTCACTCAAAATAACAAGCACTTTCGGGGCCGCACAGGATCCGAGTAGACTCTCTACTTCGGAGTCTCAGAAATGCATAAGATTTATAAGGTTAGGGACTCCTAAAACTGCATTATCAGCATTAGGCGGGTTGTCCCATACTGCCTATTTGTTACTGTTGTCCTTTACAGAATGTATTTGGTAGAATTCATATCTCATTTTATTCCATAATACCCAAGGACAACCAATTAACCCGTTTGGACGGACCTACCCCGAGGAAATGATCCAGACTGGAATCTCGCCCATAGATGTCATGAACAGCATTGCCCGAGGGCAAAAAATTCCAATCTTCTCTGCAGCGGGTCTCCCCCACAATGAGGTAATGTTATTGAAGTGTCGAAAATTGATTCACTGCGCTGGGACTGGATTCTATATAGCTAATAGGACCAGCAGCAACTCTGTGTAACAAAGGTATCTGATATGGCAAGTAAGTTATTGAAGTGTCATTGACAGTCACATAAGAGGCTTAGTATGTCAAGAATGCAGCATGGAGTCACCTATGTATTCTAGAACTCAGAGTATGGTGCACCATGTCAGTCCTTACCAGTTGTGACACCCTGACCCAAGAACAGGTGGAGGATTATACTGAGGGGGTCCATATCTTAGATCATTAAGGCAATGCAAAGTGATTTGTGTGCATTTCCTTTTTTATAAAGTAAACTTTAATAACAGAACATCAGCTTTTAGAAAATGTTCTCTCCCTGGAGCTGTTTTTTGTTTTAAAAATACAGTACCAACATACTATTTTCCTTGGTCTTATGGTCAGTCACGTGATGTATTTGGGTCTTCTTTCTCTTCTCCCTGTGGTGGCATTGGGTGGGCTTCACTATTGAAGAGCGACGTACTGATGTTATGATGTCAGCCTATCTGTCTGCAATATTGTACTCTTAGTCCAGGTCGCTGGGAGTGTCATCCCCGGGGATGTTCCCATGACAGCCTGAGTTTACAGAAAGTGGGTTGAATGACCCTGGCCTTTATTCAACCCAGATGGAGCTCAAGTGGAGTTTCTACGGGTGACAGTGTTGGCAACAAGGTAAGTATTGCAGCAGGAACTGCTTCTTTTTTTTTTTTTAAACATCTGGGCAGGCTATTAAAAAAACAAAACAAAAAGTGGGATTTGCTTTAAGTTCCCTTTCACAGATTTATCAACAATACTTTAACTGCTTTGCTGAAAAAGCCTGTTGTTAATAGAGCTCAATAGCTTAAAGCAGGGCAGAGCAACAGATTTATTTCTAAGCCAAGTCCCACAGCAGCATTTTCTCATCTTTTATTCACTCCCCCACCACTCTGTTCAACCTCTGGGAGCCAAAGGTAATGCCCGTTACCCGTAGGTATGGTGAAGCTGCTGCTTGGTGATTGGTCCAGTGCTATCACATGGGGAGGGAAGCTAGAGCTCTGGGTGAGCAAGGAAAGGAAGGTATGAGCTGTTGGAAGGAATCTTTAACCTCCCTTTTTTCTTTGTATATTATTATTTTGTTGTGTTTGAACACATGTTCTGCCCCCTCCTACAGATAGCTGCCCAGATCTGCAGACAGGCCGGACTGGTGAAGAAGTCTAAGGATGTGATGGACTATCATGATGATAACTTTGCCATTGTCTTTGCTGCGATGGGTGTAAGTGACAATGTTTTTCACCTTCAGAACTTTTATTGGATGTTTGTATGAGTATTACAAAATTACGAGTAAGTAAGATTTGACTTCCTTCTCCTGACTCCCCTTGAGGGCAATTATGGGACCCATTAAAAAAATAAAAAAAGGGGCTGATTGAATGGATCACTTAGAGGGTTATTCACAAAGCTAGCCGAAGGATTAGCCGAAGCTTTGGCTGATCCTTCGGCTAGCTTCAGTTGCAGGAGCCCTTCGCTTCAGTCAAACCGAAGGGCTACTATACGGGCTATTCACTATAGCCTGTACAGCTGCCGAAGGCTCCCGAGCGGCCCAGACGAGCCGAAGGAATATGCTTCAGGCTCGACTGACCCAAAGTGGGGCAAGCGGCTACCTCCGCCCAGTTGCAATGACAGATCAGCATCCCCAAATGACCTGGGGACTCTGAACTGTCATTAAACAATGGCAACTGGGCGGAGCCGGCCGTGGCATC